ATTCATTCATTCATTCATTCATTCATTCATTCATTCATTCATTCATTCTGTAAGTTCTGTTACTCCAGAACCCTGATTAATACTGGGAGAGAGCACAGTTCCGCTAGCAGCCAAAGCTAGAACGGGTAGGAGCAATGGCTGAAGTTGGTAAAGAATGGAGTCACAGCCTGGCACAGAAGCACACACCTGTAATCCAAGCACTTAGGAAGTTAGAGAAGAAAATGGGCTTCAAAGACAGACTGGATTACACAAGATTCTATCCACAGAGGGAGGGAGGGAGGGAGGGAGGGAGGGAGGGAGGGAGGGAGGGAGGGAGGAAGGAAGGAAGGACAGGCAAACAGAAGCTCTGGAACTTAACAAATATTAGGAACTGAGGTAGGACAAGAGAGAACAGGGCCCCTCTTCAATAGGAGAACTCTCTTTTAAATGATTTACATATGTGAAAATGTCCATTTTATTTAAAAGGAGGATCTTATAAAAATAAAAAAAAATTAAAAAAAAAAAAAACATTAGAGCATGTTTCCGGCAAGTTCCCTTCCAGTCCTTCATCTACTTTAGAGTTATTATCCTAGCCAGGCGTGGCGTACAAGCCTTTTATCCCAGCCCTGGAGAGACTGAAACAGAGGGCTGGTGGGCTAGCCTAGGTCACCTCACAAAACTTTTTATATCAAAATAGCTTAGTAGTAACCCCTCATCTGTCCTCCTGAGCAGCAGAGAAAGATTACAATCTATACTCACATAAAGATCATGGCCAACACAAAACATTCAGCCCCGTTAGTGTCTCCAGAAGCAGACGCCTCAGGAAGCAGAACACAAACTGCATTCGGCTGTGCATGAGATGCTAGACAGCTGCTCTCAAGGCAGTCCGTCCCTCCACGCACCATCCAACAACCCAGACTTCCGATGCCTCCTAAGAAGAAACCTGACTACACAGTGTTCTGCAGGGGCCTGTAACGCCGTCATTAAAGAGACTGGCCTTTCTAGACACAGTGTCCAAGTTCAAATCTCAACTCTTCCACTTAATATCTACAAGACCTTCGGGGCCTCGTGCAAGCACTTGGTGCTTCGGTTTCTCACCTGGGGGAGATTGGTGAGGCTTAAGTGAGATAAAATGCACCCAGATAAAATGGAACCCAGAAAGGACTGGGTGTAGGGCAGCTACCGACCTAAGTTCCTCTCAGGACCGCAGACAAGAGGCTTCCAGGTTATCGGCCAGCGTGCGGACTTAAAGCTTAGCCTCTTTGCAGACAATACACACTTTCTGTCACGATCTTGGCAAAATGCTTCTTTATATATTTGTCCTTGTCACAGCACTGCCAAATTTGTCAGGGTGCTTAAAAGTGCGTTTTTATACAATGAATTTCATGGGCCTTTCCCTCTCTCTACTAACTTCAGTCTCAGCCACATCATATAAAGAAAGCCCCACCAACGAGGCTTGACCTTAATACTCTCACACACCAACCTCTCCTGCAGTCACAGCAGGGGTGTCAGGACACCATGGGCAGCACTGAGCACTCCCAGAGGACAGACATCACTGCCAGCTCTCATCTCATTCGCTCCTGCCTCTCTGCCAAAGACACTTTTAAAACAGAATGCTCGAAAGTTACCTAGCAAGGACAGTCTCTGACTATACCGAACGGGTTCGCCGTTTACTACATAACGAGAACACATACTCAAGACACACAAGGATGCCACTTCTGCGCTACCACAAAGCACTTTAGCGTTATCACACACTGATCTCTCTCTTTATTCTCTTCCTGCTGTCAGTCAGCACCGGGCCAGCATTGAAAAGCTTGAGGTTTCTCCTCCATGTGACCGAGCAGGTTAGAAATATTCCAGTCTTCAGCCAAGATAAAGCTATACCCCTACAACTACAGTGACCAACAACAGTTTGCAGTGAAGATGGCCTGGAAACACAGCAGGAACATTCTTCTAGTTCACAGCAATCACGCTTGCAACTCATTTTCAGAATCATGCTTTCAAAAGAGTTCCAATATCATATCTAATTAATTCCAATAACTTACCTGTCAGCAGCTTCAATGTCAAAGCAAAACCTTCTGTCAATGGAGTCGGAATACCTTTTGGTGCATTCTTTCAAAAAGAACACCTCTCCGTCACCCTGCAAACAAGCACGACACTCAAAACTGCGCACAGACCCCACCGCGCTGCCCTGCAGGAGTCCAGGCTGACCCTTTCCTCGCGGAAGCTGCCCTCTCCTTCCCGGACGTTTTCTAGTTCTTGCTGAAGGCGGTACTGTTAAGCAGACTTCACAAAGGCTGACTGCAGCATGGATGACAGCAGTGTCCAGGCACAACAGTGGGGGCCTGCTCATCAACACTTCCTTTTGTAAAGAGCCAAAATCTGCTTTAATATCACCCTGTGTCATTATCAGTGTGACTGCTATTAGCCTATAAACACTGCAATTCCATAAGGACTGACCTGAAAGCAAACCTCAGGGCTGAGATCACAAGTGTACACCCACTAACACGGGAGCCGGTAGATCTGGGCAGTTCTGCTTCCTAAGTGAGCCACTCTAAATGTTTCGCCCTCCCTGAGGGCGTCAGAACTGGGATAGAGACAGAAGCTACGCAGTGGCTCAGCAAAGAGCCACATGAGAAGTCTAAGTCCACACTTAGGATTTTCCAGAACACAAGGATCTTTTAATAACATTTTAAAAGATCCCAGGGCAATATCCAAAACATCCCAGCTATATTCTATACTACATCATTTGTCATTTGGAACCTAAAATGGAAGTTATCTCTAAGGAAAAATGCCTTACGACCCGAGTTCACAACAACAGCAAACTCGGGCTCAAAGCAAAGGCTCCCACCTCCCCCATCTACAAGTGACAGCAGCCTTGCCTCAGCCTCTTCTCCACACACAGCCCATCGCTACAGAAGGCTCCTTCTTACAGCCTGCTTTAGGGTTTATTTGTTTACTTCTAAAAGGGTCAGCTTACATTAATTCTGAACTCACCTAAGCAAAATGCCACCCAACCACGCAGCAAGCAACAGGCTTAGGTGCTTTCTTAGCATGTATGGCCAGTTACGTCCCTACTTGTGGAAAAAGCTCCCCTCCAGACACCAAGGGTCACTGTGAGCAATGCAACTATTGCAACTCTACACCGGCCACAGGAGGCTCACCTTCCTCAGAGCCAACCCCAAGGTCTGACTGTCGTGCTGGCTCTGCTACTCAGCTCTCTGGGACGAGCAGCTATCTAACAGAGTAGCCACACAAATACCCTACGTGCCTAACTGAAGAGAGGGAAGTCATCCCAGAGCATACCCCGTCGGTGCTCTCTCACTGTGACCGTGCAGTGTGGGAACAAGCCAGGTCCCTATGTACATATGGGCCATCGATGGGCCACAAAAGCTTAGTGCAGGAATTGTCTTTCTCTTCTAAAACAATGACAGAAAACTCCTCTGTTTTACAATCTAAGTGTAAGACCCAGGTGTGATTTAGAAACAAGACAAAGATTTTTAACCAAAACCAAATTTCTCAATAGTCAGTATGAAACTACAAAAAAGACAGGCCACAAGTATCTCTCCTATAAAGTAAAAAAACAAACAAGTACTTACCAGTTTCCCCCCAGATCTGTGCTCAAACGGGATCATGTTGAATTTCTTGGCTGTTTTCCGATACATGCAGTAGTGTTTGACCCAACTGGACCCAAATGGAGCAGGCCCTTCAACAAAGCACAGATCTTCGTGTTTTCCCTCAGGCAGAGGCAGACATGTACAGCGGGAGCATTACTGCACAGTTCAGCCAGAAGAGCAGAAAAATGCAGAGGCTTAGGTGGGTGGTGGTGGTGTACACCTTTAATCCCAGCACTTGGGATCTCCATGAGTTTGAGGCCAGCATGGTCTGCAGAGTGAGTTCCAGGAGACAGCCAAGGCTATGTGGGGAAACCCTGTCTCAAAATAGACAAAACCAATGCAGGGGCTCCTGGAAGGGAGGGACCGGGGGACAGGAAGCCCTTAGAGCAGTGTGACAACTGACTGAAGACCCTTTCAGCAGACTGTGAGTTACAGTCCTAAGCTAAGACGATGGGATGACTCAGTGTGTAAAGTACTTACAGACCAAACCTGTGGACTCAGGCCCCAGAGCCCACAATGGAAAGAGAAGCGGCTCCTGAGAGCTGTGCCCTGGCCTCCACATAGGCCTGCCACAGTAACTCATCCACATCCCACTCAATGGTAATAGTCACAGTAAGTGACAAACTCTCGTGTGCTAGAAAAAGCCAAGAGCTACTCAGGTATTCCAGGTTAGATGGAGGAAACACAACACCCTGCTGCCTAGTTGGCTTTGACTTGACACACAGAGCTCCTGCAGCCGAAATCCCCGATCCTCTAGCTGGTGAGCACAAAAGTCAGCTCCACTGTTACTGCCGCCACTACCACCCCCCGGCTGTCTCTATGTCTGTCTGACTCTGTGTCTCTCTGCCTGTCTCTCTCTCTCTCCCTCTGTATGTGTGTCTGTTTCTCTCTCTCAGGGTTTTTTTTGGTTTAGTTTTTGTTGTTGTTGTTGGTTTTTCAAGACATGGTTTCTCTGTGTAGCCCTGGCTGTCCTGGAACTTGCTCTGGAGACCAGGCTGGCCTCAAACTCACAGACCCACCTGCCTCTCCCTCCCGAGGGCTCTACCTTTTCTTTTGAAGACTGAATCCTCATTAAGCCCAGAGAGCTGACCATCTTCCTAAACTGGCTGGCCCAGTGAGCTCCACGATCAACTCCTCTCTAACCTGGTTCAGCACCGGAGTCAGACTCTCATGGCAACAGCTGGCTTTTTCAGATGAGTGCTGGGGAGCTGAACTCAGATCCTCAGGCTTGAAGTGCTGGCACCTGACTGGCTACGCCATCTCACCAGGCCACAGTGGGCTATTTTAAGGGAAAGGCAAGTCCTTCTACACATGGCCACTGGCCTTTCCACTTCTTTGTCACACTGTGATGCAGCCATAGGACACTTTCCAACCAATCAAACCATGAGCCAGATAAGTCACTTCTTCATAAAGTATCAGGCCTCGAGTGCTATGTTATAATACACACAAAATGAGCAGGCCAACACTAAAGCCACTATAAGTAAAACCCAGCTATGCAGTAAGAGTTTCTGTATCCACCAACAGTCTTCCTAACGTCTTTTAAGCCTTTTATAAGTTCTGTGTATGGGTACATACACGTGAGTAAGGATGCTCACAGTGGCCCGAGGCATTAGGTTCCCCTTGGACAGTTGTGAGTCACAAGGTGGTGCCAGGCACTAAACTCTGTCCTCTGGGAGGGCAAGAAGTGCTCTTAACTGCTGAGCCATCTCTCTCGCCGCTTTCCTAGTGACTTCACCAAGAACAAGATGCCCCAGTTGACTTACAGGAGAGAGGCAGGGTTCTGAGGTGGAGAGCATGTGTGTGGATGAGAAAGAGACAGATGATGGCAGAGAAATCACAATGGCGGCAACTGATGAGGATCGGGTAGAGGAAATAGGAGAAAGTGCTGCTAACGGTCCCTCCTGGCTGTTGAGCCTTCAGCTCTGGCTCCTGAGAAACAAACTCCCGGAGTACAGCATCAGACAGCATGTGCTAGCATGGCCTGAGAATGCCATGCTGACTCCAAAGCAGGAATATGTACAAAATGTACCTTCAGGGGCTGGAGAGATGGTTCAGCAGTCAAGAGCACTGACTGTTCTTACTGAGAACCCGAGTTTGGCTCGCAACCACCTGAAGCTCCAGATCCAGGGTACCCAACACCCTCCTCTGACCCTCTGGGCTCTTATACATAGAGTTCACACACTCAGGCACACACATATATAAAAGTAAATGTACAATGTTGTCATTTTTTTAATTTAAATATGCCATCAAGATCACAGCAGGCGAGGAAAGCCTTAGGGGTGATTTCCCAGCTATCACTGTGATTATATTAAGGTTGAAGGATTCCGTCGACGTTTTCCCAGGTGTTAGTGAGGTTTCAATCCACGGACCAAAATCTTTGGCTTCTGGAGTCTCAGAAGACATCACAGTAGCTCAGGGCTCACAGTCGCCCTCCCACCGGCCTTCAACCCTCTCATCCGTAACACAATGCACATGCTGTATGGAAACTGCTACACTGGGCTGGTCAGGAAATGGCAAAAAAGAAAGAAAGAAGTGGTGGAGCTAGGCGCAGAGGCATACAACTGGAATCCGGCCACTTGAGAACTGTGGGCTGAGGGTAGCCTTTGCCATATGGAAATTTAAGGCTGGCTTCAGTTACACAATAAGACCTTGTCTCAAAAACAAATCAACAATCTGCGCATGTACCCCACAGTACAGTGCCTGGCTTGGTTTTTATCTGTCCACTGAAATCTGTTCATTCTGTGTTGGTCACACTCATGGGAAGCTCTGGAAGGCACAGCATGGAAACTGTAACACGAATTTGTGTGGTCTTGTTTTGTTGCTTATTGAGACAGGGCTTCTCTGTACAGCCCTGGCTGTCCTGGAACTCGCTCTTTTGGCCAGGTTGGCCTTGAATTTAGAGATCCACCTGCCTCTGCCTCCCCAAGAGCTGGGATCACAGGGTGTGCTACCAATGCTCAGCTTGTAACAAATTTTTAAGCTGCCACTCAGCATAGGCTTGTAGGCTTCTTACTTTTTTCCTGGACATACAGGTAGCCTTCTGCTGTGAACTGGCTTGCTCGCTTGTGGTCCTTTGGATTCTGCCTGATTTTATTCATAAGTTCCTCCACTTCCGACCTGGTTCCCTCAAATCGATTCCGTGTCTGAAACAGAAAAAAAATAAATAAATATGCAGATAAACTCCAACATAAAATTTCCTGCCTTCGTGTTTCCTGTTTTTGTTACATCTTACGTTTAACAAGGAAATAAGCCATAAGAGAGCCATCTACCTGGGAAACAAAGGGTGCTGGCTAGAGTCCACCTGATCTAAGCTGTCACTGCTGCAGCAGCAACCTGAGCACTAAGAATCTGAAAATAATAATTCTTTGCAAGCTAACAGTAAGTCAGCATCCATTTTTCCAGGCTGTGGCAACTACACTAGAAAACATTCAAGGAGGAGGAAGATCACGAGCAAATAATGCCCACACATCTGAAGAGGCTAATAACATTTCAGAAACCCAGGAGACGTGGGCTGCCAATATCTGCCACGGAGTGAAGGATCGGGGTTACACTACGGGAGCTGAAGTGACAGAGCAGCCACCGCATCCCGCTGAGTCATCACCACCCAGTTCACGGACATTTCAGCCAGGCTCAAAAATAATTGCATCAATAGAAGAAAAAAAATGCTGATGTGAAACTTCAAAGGAGCTCAGACAAAAAAATTAAAATTTCTCCTCTCAAATAGGGAGGAAGAGGGATGGAGAGTGGGGCTGGGAGGAAATGAGAGATGGGACTACAATCAGGATGTAACTAAATAATAAAAAAAATAAATGTTAGTTAAAAAAATTCTCTCTTCTTCCTATAATGAAAAGGGTTGTCAAAGCTCATAAGGTTAGAAAAAACTAGAGAAATAGGTGGAATAATGGTACCTTTCTCCTAGGGGGATGGAGAGACTAATACCTGTAGGCCATTAAAAAAAATAAAACTACTTCTGGAGGTTTACTCTGAATAGAAACTAAGAGCCAATATGGAAGAAAAACCTTTTTATGCTCTTTGGGAAAACATAAGGCCATGCTTGGCGGTGCACACCTTTAATCCCAGCACTCCAGATCTCTGAGTTTGAGGCCAGCCTGGTCTACAGAACAAGTTCCAGGGCAGCCAGGGCTACAAAGAGATACAGAAGTACACATTATGTATGTGTTACATTATACATACATGTTATATATTACAGAGCTGCACAGAGAAACCTTGTCAAATACATTAAACAGAAAAACAAATATGAAGGAATAAGCAATAAAAGGCTGCCAAAAGGGCTGGTTCCCGTTCTTTTTCTCATCTTCAGCCTCTCCCTTGTTTGTGTCTGTTTATCCTGCCTTCACACTGGCTCTATTCCCCCACTTGTGAGAATCCTTCCCACCCTGACCGCCTGCACAGATACGTGTAACAGATACAGCCTACATGCATGCACACATCCTGTCTTTTTCTGCCAGTGGCTTTACACATGACACTCCTGCTGTTTAATGCTAGTGCCCTAAATGCCCTGCAGGTGCCCCGCTGGCTAGGAGGCCTTATGACAGGAGCTATTCACTCTGAGCAGTTTCTGCTCCTCCGGTCCAGCAGGGAATCTAGGCTGGTGTGCTCACCTGACCTGCCCCAGGATCCACTGATTCTCCTAAGGACCCCTGCTGCTTTCAATGGAAGGAGGCATCTGAAATCCATAAGCAGATACAGTGTGCTCACAACTGCTGTTCCTTCTAAGACTTCCGGGCAGAGAGGCATGGGCAATAAACACACTTACACACTGGCGCTCATACACGCTATCAACCATCTATTCACTCATGCACACAGTCTCACACACATACACTCGCTCCCTAGCATACATACACAATCAAGCACCAACCACTACTGCTGTACCGTAAAAACCTGGGACTTTGTACCATCGGGTTGACTTCAACTCCAGTTCTTGAGATTTCTTTGTGGCCATCCTTTTATCCCACATTTATAGACGCCTGAGAAATCTAACTCATGTTACCATCAATGTACTTCCGGACTCACTCGGCACATTGGCACAATGTAGCCAGGCTCTCAAAACACCCCCGCTGTCTCTTCTGCAGACCCCTACAGTCCCACACAGCTCACTTTCCTCAGGGCCCCACCTCCTCGTGCCTTTGCACTAGAATGGGAGCAGGGTTATTTTTTAAGTGTACCATATTTCTCTAAGGTAGTTAGGAACTAGGGTTAAAATTGCACCTAACAAGCCTTGAGTCTAAATCCCAGGGACGCTGGACTGTGAAGACTGAATGTGGTCACAAGCTGAATTAAAGCCCTTCAAATGGTGCCTGAAGGTTAGCTCAGGGGCTGTGCAGCTTGCTTTGCCACACGTGATGACAGCAGGTTTAATCACCAGCCTGGGAAAATAAATTAAACTGTGACAGACGGTAAAGTACCTTACAGTGCTTTAATACTGAAAACATAAGGCAGACCCCTGGCTGGCGTCATCCAATGCCAGGAGCACACCAGTGAGAGTGCGCTTCCCACTCCTTCCTTAAGTAAAAGAGCACTGCCAAACACCAGCCCAAGTTTTAAGCCTTGCCTTACAGCAGGGGTTCACTGGGGTCCAAGATAGAATTCAGATGCCTTTAATCAAAATGTCTGATGGGGTCAGGAGGAGCCAACCTAAAGGAGGAGGGCTGGAGGAGGGTCCAAGGACACTCCCCTCCGCGGCAGCTTGAGTGAGGTACCTCCACAGTTTCAGGCTGTGGGATACGTGGTTCCCAGGTGCTGGTGTTGGGGAGGAAATGTGGCACTGGGGCTCTGAAGCTGCAGAGCCTGATAACATTTGGAATTTGCACTCTCTGCTTTGTGCTTCTGCTCCAGCCGCCATGCCTGCCACCTCTGCTCCACCGTCACAGACTCCAACCTTGGGGAACAGTAAACCCTAAAAAGAACAGCAACTAAGATGCCCTCAAATAAGCCTCGGAAGGTGCAGGGCAAAGCAGTGACTGATCCCAAGTACAGACTACTGTGCTTCAGTAAAGTTTTTCCATCTCAGCTCCATGATATCATTCACAGCGCAAAAAAGGCAGAGAGTGATTAACAGTTTGAAGAGGATTTTGCCTTACAAAAACAAACAAAAACAGCAACGTAGAGTTACCCCAACAGACAGATGGACAGACCGACCGACCTCACTAAAACCTCATTTCCTCTCAAGAGTTCCATATACATGGAGGTACTTGAGAAAGGAAGCATGAGCTAGCAGATCCCAGGGAATTTCTGATCAGGTCTTGTTCCCCAAAACACATAGCAAAGCCCAGGACAGGGAACTCTGGACCCACGAGAATCTTAGAATCAGAGAGAGAGGCAAGGTTTGCCAGTTGTGCCTGAATCTCAGCCCTTGCCATTAAGTGAGTCTCCTGCTCCCCACAAGTTTTTTAAACTCAGAGAGGGCAGATAGCCTTGCAGAATGCCTGCATCCCAGTCTGCAGCAGGCGAAGCCCGACATGCAGTCCGCCGGTAAGCAGGGCAGGCCTGGACACAGTGGCCACTCTCCCTTCGCTGGGTAGCCCGCCACGCAGAGCTCCTGAGAAGAGGCTCTCCCTTCCTGAACCAGGTCTCTCGGAGGTCCTGACGGCCACTGTACACAGGGGGTAAGGCATTTAGCATGGAAAACCACAGTAATTTTTACTATTTTATAGTTAAGCTCATCAAAACTCGCAACTACCTCCTAACAAAGGAGAACTATCCGCCCACACTCCTAACACCTTAGCCATGTTCACTCTCCCTGTTAATCTTGAAATTCCCACTGCCTCTCCCGCCAGGACTGCTGGTCCCGTCCTCCTCACCCCAGCCATCTAGGGATGGCATCAAAGCACAAAGTTAGCTTTTTAAAATACCCTTTAATTTTGATACAATATCCTCCCTTCTGGGAAAAAAAAAAAAAACTACTTTCTAAAAGCCATCCTGCTACTTTCTTGCTTTCTATTTATTACTAAGATTACAGAAAATGGGTAAAGAGGGAATCCCTCAGGAAAGTAAGCCATTTTTACAATATGAAAGACATAACCAGATGGGGCTGGAAATAGCATGCTTTCATTTTTAAATAAAATTGCCTCTCTTTCTGACTATACGTCATTTTTAAATTTAATTATTTTACTGTAATAAAATTCTAAACAGTTGGCCAAGTTATAATGTAAAGATATCCAACCCTAAAATTCAGTTTTATCATCTCAGTGTGTTTCATATATCATACTTAAAAATAAAACATAACTATGGTTTTCTTTCAGAAATGTTAGCTTCTTAGAGTCAGCATTTTGCCCTTATTACATAAAATCACCAGGGAGGAAGATGAACAGCCCCCCAAAGTAAGTGAATGACAATACTTCTCAGGCAGAGGCAATGGAAGGCCTGGAAGGTGCTGCACTTCAGTGGGAGAGGGGCTGAATCAAAGAAAGACAAAAGGCAGGAGCAGGGCAGTTCATGCCTGCCCTCTCCAGCACCAGCTAGGGGAGGCTGAGGAGGGGATGCCCACTGAACGCGGGAGTTTACGGTCGGCCAAGCAAAGCAGGCAGGGAGGGGAGGGTGCACCCCACACACACACCAGACACACACACACACACACACACACACACACACACACACACACACACACACACACGTGCCCTCGGCAGTGAGAAGGCAGAAGCAGCAGCTTCTGAATGAGCCCCCACCCCACCACACCACACCCCACCCCACCGGCCTCAGAGCCGACCAGAGTAAAACTGAGGGATTCTGTTTGTTTGTTTCTTGGTTTTTCAAGACAGGTTTCTCTGTGCAGCCTTGGCTGCCCTGGAATTCACTCTGTTGACCAGACTGGCCTTGAACTCAGAGATCCTTCTGCCTCTGCCTCCTCAAGTGCTGGAATTAAAGGCATGTGCTGCCACCATCCAGCTCTGAGGGATATTTATAAAGGCAGGTAGAACAGAGAATATGCTGAAGGGGGAGGATTTAGGGCAATTCCCTGATGAATGACACCCTTGAGTTCCAAAATATAGAGCGGGGAAAATTTTTCCCTTTCCAGAAAGTTACTTGTCCATTTCTCCACAATAAAGAATGAGTACTGTTGTCAAATGTGTAAGCTTTTAGCTCATCAAGGTCGTTAACAAGGTCATTCTAGATAAAAACATATCTCATACCCTTGGGTTCTGCTCAGCATTACCTCTAACAACATGACTCGGCCCTACTGGCATGCTAAGTCTCTCTGGCCTTATTTTGGTATACATAAGCTCACTGGATTCCCTCTTCCCCACAGGCACCTGAGAAAAGACTCCTGTCCATGAGGAAGGAATTTGAGGACAGAGACCGATGTGTTCCTCTGTCACTAAGTCTAGGCTCTTCGTGGGCACGTGGCCCGTACAGTCACATAGGGCCTGTGCTACAGCGTCTCCTGATAGGTTTAATGTTCTACTATATGATGGGGGGGTGGGGGGGGGGGGCCTGAGTCAGGCTTTCATGTAACTCAGGCTGGTCTCTAAGTCACTACATAGCCTTCAACTCGGATCCCCCCCCCTTGTGACAAGCAAGATGCAGCACACGGAGGTTAGATACCCACCACCTTGAAAGCTGTTGCTGTTTTTATGTGGGATCCCATGCTTTCACTTTACATCAGTCCCAGGCCTAACTGGGGGTTCTCATCTGCTCAGCCCCGAAGCTGCTGCTGGATAAAGTCGAGAACGGTGGTTCTCCACCTGTGGGTTGCGACCTCTTTCACAGGGGTCGCCTAAGACCATCAGAAAGCAGATACTTAGAGCATGATTAGTAACAGTAGTAAAATTACAGTTATGAAGTAGCAACAAAAATAATTTTGTGGTGGGCATCACCACAGCATGAGGAACTGGGTCACAGCCTTAGGAACACTGAAAACCACTAGTCTAGAAAAAAAGTTAATTCTACATTATATACCCACGTGGGAGTCGGGATCAGTTTATAGTCTAATCTTCTCAACTGGCGCTCCTTTCATAAACTTTGTTTCACAGCCTGCAAGGCACTCTAAAGAAATAAATCATTTCTTTAGAAGTTCTAGTGGCTGAAGGAACGGCTCAGCCGGTGAACTGTCTGCCATTCAAACATAAAGATGCAAGCGTGAGTAGGGGCAGTGGTTATTGTATGTGGGAGGTGAGCCTGGGCAGAGCTCTGGAGCTCTCTGACCAACCAGCCTAGACAACAGTGAGCTCCAGAGTCAGTGAGAGAACCCTGCCTCAAAAGACAGGACAGAGCGAAGCTGGGGAAATACAGGCTGTACACCTCTGGCCTGCAAACAGCCCACACATACAGAAGAAAGTAATTCACTGCCGCAGGAACAGTTCTGAGAGCCTAGAACACACCCGTACATCTGCAGGTCTGTTTTAAGCAGTTCCTGCCTAACTTCTAAACCATACCACAAAGACCCACGCACTTGGGTTTCCATATGTGTTGTGTGTCACGAAGCCATCACACTGGGCTTCGAGCATGGTCTCCCTAGCTGTCACATGAGAAAGATCTCAACTGGAAAAACCATGTCACCTAAATAAAATCTTTTTTTCCTTAATGTTTTTTAGTTACACACGAATGAAGCATGTAAGGGTGTGTGTGTGCGTGTTTCCACATGAACATGGAGGTGTGCGTACCACAGAGTGCAAAGGGAGGTCAGAGGTCAACCTGAGGTGTTGGTCCCACCTGACTTGAGATGTGGTCTTGGTTGTTTGTGCTGCACTCACCAGTAGCCTGACCACAGCCCTGCGGATCCTCTTCTCTCTACCTTCCCTCGCTATGGGAACACTGAGCTTACAGACACCAGCTGCCAAACCTGGCTGTGCAAGGGATCCAAACTCAGGTCCTCAGGGCTACACAGCAAGAGCTTTACCCACTGAGCCAGCTTCTCAGCCTAAAACAACCTTAGTAAGAATCTCTAGATCTTGTTTTCCAAGACCAGGTTCAAAGCACACACTCCACAAAGGAAAGCAATGAGAGCAAATGGCAGCCGTGAACACTGGAACAACAGGGAACATTCCTAAAACATAGAGACACAATTCCATCAGCCAGTCTGGGGGTGGAAAGCATGACTAACGGTTAACATCAACGCTGAGGTGACTGCTAGGATAGCAGCTTCTTACACAGACGTCTGGAGTTAGCATAACAACGTTACCCTGAGAACTTGCCCCAGAAGGCCAAGAGCAGCCTCCAAGGGGCAGAATTTCTTCGCCTTCCTTAGCTAAAAAAGCAGTGTTACATCACGAGCTGACCACTAGATGGCAACACATCCCCACTTTCGCAGCGCCAGCCTGGCCTTCAAGCTTCTCACACCAAAACAGAAAGAGGCGTTGCCGAAACATCTTTTAAATACCAGAAAGCTTTGGTGTCCTTACATTCTGGATGTTGATCTGCAGTTCCATTTTGTAGTGATTGAAGTCTTTGGAAAGCTCATGACCCTGATGATAGAAAGTAAACATTCCCTGAAAAAAGGACAGCATCTAAGACAAAGAAGGAAAGAGCATTAGTACACAGCAAAAACAAAAACATAGGAAAAAAAAAAAAAAAAAAGAACCATACATAACACTCTTCCTTCTCCCTGTCTGTCACTCAGCTGAAATAAAGCACTTCCAGAGAAGGCACTAGAACTTACGTAACTGTGCCTACGACCTAGTCACCCGTCTGTACTGAAAATGAAGGATATTACTGTTCCTAAACATCAGCATCATTAAGCAATTTTTATACAATGTTCTCCAAGAAAAATCAAGAGTCATTCACTTGGGTCTCTTTAGTCAAGAGAATTGTGATGGCCACCTGTAATTAAAAGCTCAGCAGGCAATCGAGACAAAGCAGGGACCCCGTGAGGGTCTACTCTCCCCCAGGGCATTTTTGCAAAGGTGTTCAGGTGATGGGGGATAGTTAATAATTAAGACCCTAGTTTTCTCCCAACCTCCAGCCTGGCTCATTTTAGAGGCAGCTGCTTCTACCCACAGTTCTGTGTGTCCCTGAAAGGAGTAAAAGTGATTGGAGAAAAGGATTTTAAAATCCTGAATTTATTTTCTTCAGAATGCTGAAGTATAGGCAATAAAGGGCCATAATATCTTATGGCCAGTCACTCGTTTGTGACACTGGGCAAATCGCTTTGACCTTTCCCTTCCATTTCTTGCTGCAGTGATATATGAATGCCTCACCGAGTTACTACGTAGTGTGAGAGGGACAGGGCAGCAGAGTAACTTCAACCGTGTCTGAGCACAACAAAGGGCCAGTTAATGTACACCAGGATAAGTTCAACATGACAGGAACACTTTAACGCTTAATTTCCTGATTATCTGACTCTGGTTGATTTTATGAGTCCCAAGTGCCTGGTTTTTAGGTATTAAATTATTCCTTTGTTTCTCACTGTGCACAGTAATGATTCAACTATAGTGCTTTAATTACATCTCAATAAAGAGAAAACACAGTGATATTAAAATTATCATACTAGTGGTTTCCAATCTTCCCCAGTTTTTTGCTGTTTTGAAATACCATCTATACTTGATTTTTAGAAGATGCTTATATCAACGTCCTATATATACAGGTTAATATATAAGTAACTGAACTTATCAGAAGACATCCACAAAACTAGTGTTCCTGGGGGCTGGAGAAATGACTCGGGGAATACATTCTGCTCTTATGGAAGAATCAAGTTAAATCCCCACCCCCTGTTGAGTGCCAAGCCACCCATCAACCCCTGCTCGAGGAGACCCAGCACCTCTTAGCCTCTGCCCACACCTGCAGTCACGTGCACGTACCCACAAACACAAATATACAAAAGTAAAAAAATAAATGTTTTAAATGAAAACTGGTGTTTCTGATGTAAAGATAGCTTAGCCACTAACAAACCTGCTTCAAATGCTACAGCATGACTTAGAAATAATAATACCTGAAACAAAACACACGTATAAACAGGTAGACTTCGAGAAACTGAGAGCAGCTGTCTTTTAGCTTCCTCAGTCACTCGCTGCAAAGGCAGGAGTACAGAACCTATACCAAATGCAGCGTTCAAGTCCACACACAGGATTGTATCCCTTACCCGGGGCTGTGCCGACAAGGCCCCCCACTCTGCAGATGCTTTCCTAGACTTTCACTAGCTGTGTCACCCTTCACAACAGGCTTCCTCAACTTTTCCACACTGTTCACAGGACCCACAGCAAAGCTTGCTCTGTTACTCACAGGTTCCACAAACTCGAACTTCTTTCTTTCTTGGATCTCCTGGAGCTTGCACACATACTCAAGAGAGAGCTCATAGAAGTGCTGCCGGCTCTGCTCCACTTGAAGGTCCGCCTGTGTGAAAACCAACACCATCAGCAGAGCCAAGTCAGGGTACACAGACTCACACCAGAGCCCTACAGCCATGGAGCTGGCTGCGCTGTGGGCCAGTGTTCGAACACGTGACTGTTCAATCGTGTTCCACTCACTGCTACTCCCCTGCCACAACAGGTTTGAGCCATAGGGGCTAAAACGCTTCTTCCCAAACCTGATGACCCCCAAAGACTGAAGATTAAGGATTACACTACTTCCTGGGACAGAGCAAAAGTCCCAGAGGGCATGCGCAAACCCTTTAAGAATGACATCGGCCTGCTATGGGAAGACTGGAGAAGCGCCAGTCACCTAGGCACTGGGTAAGAGGGCAACACTTAAGGGGTGACAGCAGGGCTTCAGGTCCATGTGGAGGTGGGCACATTCCTAAGCCCACACCACACCAGATCCCCAGAGCCCAGGGGGCACCAGCTGGTCAGAGCCGATCCAAGCAGCCCTGCACTCATTTTGTCTCCCTGGAAAGAACAGAGGGGACAAAAGGACAGAAGAACCCTCATCCCAGAAGCCATCCTTAAGAGTCATCAAGCAATACCATTCTTTAACTCAGCTAACTGTATCTTCTGAAGCATTCATCTAGGCCTTTCTCCAAAACAGACGGCCACACACGTGCCTGAGACAGAAGCTCAGTGGGGCATCCCCCGACAAGGCAGCAATGCCCATGGGTCTGGAAAGGGTGAAAAGATCCCCTCTGGGGACGGCTGCAGAGAACAGTGTCTGCTTTACTGCCCGTGAGCAGCCACGTAGACGGTGGAAGCGTATCGACTGATTGGTTAGCACATTACTTCAGATTGGACAGTGAGTGCGCAGACCACCAGGGTCTCTACATGGAAGGGGACATCCAGAATGCGGACTCGTCTGCAGGCCAGCTGCCGGCTGCTCACACTACTTCAGAATTCAGTGCCTGCCTTCAGGAGCATGCTGTCCCACGCTTCTTAGGTAGAAGCACCGTGTGCCAGGTGCTAGCAGGTACTAGCACCTGCTAGTCACCAGGTCATGCTTGCACTTTCTCCTGCTGGGGTGGGGGTCAGGGTGGGGGTGACAAGGTAGAGGCAGGAGGATTGCTGGGGCTTGCTGGCCATTATCCCAACTCAAGGTTCAAGGGAATAAGGAAGGGAGCAATAGAGGACACCCAATGTCCTTCTGCTCCTTCCTCTGGCCTCCACACACATACACAGGCATGCACACTCTCCCACACACATGCACACAAACCACACAATGAGATATAACAAAAGGAGGCAAATCATACTGGGTAACACACACACCTGTCACCCTAGCACTTGGGAAGCTAAGGCAGGTGGACTAGTTCACAGCTAGCCTTGACTGCACAGCAAGACTGTAGCTTTAAAAGAAAAGGAAGCAAGGTCTGGCAATGCTACAGCATGGATGAGCTGTTGGGCTCTCATAAACATCACACGTGAGCAGAGGAACCACAAATAAATGACGTAGCTAGGCAGAGTAACACACAGAACAATGATGGGGCCGGGAACCATGGGAGTTACAGCTTCACGGGTAAAGGGTTTCTGCTTGGGCAGGCACAAAGACATTCTAGAGATGCTGGGATGGCTGCACAGCCAAGTAAATCACTAAGCCAAAGACTTGATAGTACTCAAAGAGCTAAAAGAAACCCAATGATAAGTATCTTACAACAAAATTTCAGAAGTTTCTAAAAACAAGTCAGTATTTGTCTGGTATTAAAACGCTTTGAGTAAAATAAAGTTGAAATGTAAAGTTACCAAAGTGAGATTTTCTACCTAAAAACCATAATGTTTTGTGTCCCCAATAACCAGCCCGATTTTTCAGCTACCAATAATCCAAAGCTAAAACCCCGTAATCATGTTGAGCAGTTAAGACTCCGTGGAGCTGAAAGCACTGGTTCCTTCAATAATCATCACTGGGGATTATTATATGCGGAGTCAGCTGGCTCAGCGGCCCCTGCTCTGGCTTCCCCTCATAGCCAGGACTGCGGGCCTTGTGTTTATGATTCAGGTAGCGCATAACCTTCAACAAGACCGCAATATGCCTGCTGTACTCAGGAGTAGAGAATGACTCCTTTTACCCTGTCGAAGTCTAAATGTGCTCACTGACTTTTTTCACATGTTACGATTCGAATATAGTTTACATATGCCAGGCAAATTTTAAAGTACTGCAAAGCCTGGCCCCTCTGACGGGTCGTTCTTGGGGTGAGAGAATCTTCTGCTACAGGGTTATCAGATCACGAAAGCACTACTTTTGAAAGTGAATTTTCCAAGCAACTAGCTTGTTTTATGGAGCCTGGCACCTCCCCAAGTCTCTTACGTACACACTGTCTCTGCGTGTTTTGTAACAGCAACACAAAATGGAGTAAGCAACACGTACATTAAGCAAAAGCTGTTGGCTTTTAATAAACATCTGCGTATAATTATCCAATTGTGGCTCTACACGTGTAGAAGACAGAAGGTCAGTCTCACACAAAATTGTTGAAAGTATTATTTCTCCAGTGATATTTAAATCGAATTAGTACCCTTTGTCTACTGGGAGAAAACAAACATTAAAAGCCAAGAGGACTGGAATACTCTCTTCTATTCAATGTGTGTTAGAGCACAGAAACTGTCTACAACTTAGGGACATGGATGGATGTGAAGGTCCTTGGCTCCAGCACCCACAGGGTGAGAGCAGCAGCTCTTAGTAGAAATACAAAAGTAGACAGCACAGAACACACCACAGTGTTCTAGTCCCCTCTTTAAAACAAGGAGAGAGATGGCTCGAACGCCTTTCTATGTGTCTGCGAAGCCATCCTCAGCAACCTTTATTACCCTCCCGAACCAGTCAATTCACTCAAGATCAGCCACATGACAGCTCGAAAAAACAATGAGCATCCAAATAAAACCTCCTCCTGTTTAAAAGCCTCCTCCCTGTTAAGATCTACATGCTTAAGGAGGCTGTTTCAAGGGGGAAGGAGGTCTGTGAAGAGTAAACAGAGCAAGAGAGAGAATACATTCAATTGAAATGAAACTGAAAGCACACATCTTCAGGGCCTCCTCAAATCCATGATTTGCAGCTTAATTACCCCTGACACTGATGACACTGTCAAAGCCGTAACTCACTGTACACAGATCCTGTTTGTACTTAGTAAGAACTACTGGCTCTGGCGGGTAGTCAGAATGGATAGCATACTGAGCTAAAACAAGACTGCAGCCTTCAAAGGGCTTATGGCCACTGAAAGATGCCACGTAGCAGTACGTAGTAAAAGTTAAAAACCACAGTACGCCAGGGGGAAGGGACATCATAGCAGACAGCCAGAAGGAGTTTTATTACCATGTGGCTGGGCTGAGTAAAAGGTACCTGGGACAGTCTCTGAAGATGGCAGGCATGTGGGTGTGAGCTGGAACACACTGGACAGGGGTGAGGGCATGCCTAGTATGTATGTGACTGTGATGGACCGCATTACTAAAATAAGTAAATAAACACAGAGCCCCAGCAAGAGACATCCTGCCCTGAGGCAGGTGGCTAGTGCATAGCACACAGGCCCCAGACTCGGTGGCCTCTGGAGGACCATCAGCAAGGCTTTCAAAAGAAAAGAGGCAGGGACAGGGCCATGTGCTGGTGGACTAAAAAAGATGAGGCTGCCTCCTACACATACACAGGAACATTTAGAACATAATGACCAATTAGAGTGATGCGAAGGTGGCAATTAACTTCAGGCATAGAAGTTCTCTTTCAAATAACTGAAAATGGAAGTGGATATAATGAAGACAGAGGGAAGAGCAGCAGGTCTTCCCTGCTCAACAGCTGTCCTTGCAAAACAGACTGAGGGGTTATCTAAGCACTGCTCAATTCCTACATAGAATGCAACAAAGAGAGGGCAGAGCCAAGCACTGCAGTGAGGATTAGGTAATTAAAAAAAGCTGTTTTCCCCTTATAAATTATTAAATGCCATCCAAATGTCAAAGGTATAATAAGCACAAAAGCAAACGTCCTTGTAGGTCTCTCTCAAATCAATGATGTATGCATACACAGAAGTAAAGCATACAAGAGCTGGGTTTTTCTATTATCATGTGGATGATATGTCAACAACTACATATACAGTACATTATTGTGTCCAAATTCTTGTGTGTTCCACAACAAATGGAGGAAAGGCAATTTGACGCACTGTTGGCAAGTCATAATCCTATTCGGCACACCATTATCATTGAGAGTAAACCCTATGTTGTGGGCTAAGGAGATGGCTAAGCGTTTAAGGGAAGGTACTGACATCCTCAGTAGCTGGAAGAAATGGACAGTATACGTGATCATGCAATTGTACCTCATAATTGTGTCTGTGCATATTCTTAAGGGTAAAAAAACAAAGGAGTGCATAAATTCAATTATCTTCCCAGCACTGTCCCAGGCAGTTCGCACCAACCAACTGCAACTCCATCTCTGGAGGACCTGGCACTCCCTCCTGGTCTGTGTGGGCACCAGGACTCACGGATGCATGTTCCCATACAGGCCCCACATACACCAGCACACATATGCACTTATGCCTACACAGGCCCACATACACAGTGTATTATTTTTAAAAATTAAAAGAAATCTTTTAAAAGCCAATGCGTTCCATATTGTAAATAACTGAAGTTTCTATTCAAGCCTATGAGCGGGAGGAAAAAAGTCAAGAAACTTAGGAAGAAATGGGGAAAATGAGAGCTAACATATAAATTCCTTTCTGCTGACATATTGCTTTTTTAAAAAGCTGAGTCTATTAACATGAGTAGAATAGATCCACTCCTTCCAGCAAGAGCCTGCCTACCTCTGAGCTTTCAACTCAATACTGTTCTCACATACATGAAGCAGTTCAATTCATCAAGAAAACCTATAAGCCAAGAACAGGTCTATCTGTTTATATTATATATATTAAGTATGTGGGATTTGTTGGGGTTTATATGCTTGTTTGTTTTAAGTATTCCAAGACAGAGTTTCTCTGTGTAGCCCTGGCTATCCTGGACCTCACTGGGTAGACCAGAGTGGTCTGGAACTCAGAGAGATGCACCTGCCTCTACATCTGCTGGGACTGAAGGTGTGTGCCACTGAGCCCTGCTCTAGCAGCTGTATGTTCTTTGTAACACTAACTAACATATTTGTTCCTGTGAAAGACTCAGAGCCTAACATTTACTATTGTGAATTCATACTTTACAAATACTGGAAGACATTCATTGTTGCCTACATTACCAGAATTCCACTCTTAATTCACTGCTGTGTCTGTTCTTTTTCCCCATGTCTATAGTTTCAGGTGACAAGCTTTCACAAGTACAAAATATTTTTTAAAAGAATTTATTTTAAATTTGGGAAACAAATCAACAGAGACATGGAAAGCATACCTCTTGCAAATGGGAGTCCTTCTTCCTGGCAGACAGAGTTAAGTGTTTATCGATAAGACTGTAATTCTTTTCTGTCTCTTTGTCAAACTTCTTTTTCTCTTCCTACAAATTAAAACCAGACAACGGTGGTTATACATAACACACATAAATCTGATGTACACATAACCCACCAGAAGCTAAAAATATGAGAAAAAAAAATAAAAGTCTAAACATCAAACAAGCAATCGGTGAATGTGATGGAGCTGCTGGGGCGATGCCTTGCGCCTCAAGCCACGGCTGCCCACCCGAGTCGGCATTGGCACCGTGGTGACGCTTTTCTGAAAAAACACGGTGGTGCAGCACAGCTTCAATCCCAGCACTCGGGAAGCAGAGGCAGGGGGATGAGTTCTAGGACAGCCAGGACTCCACAGAGAAAGCCTAAAGTTATATAAATCTTAATATAGGAACCATTAGAGAATGGAACATTTTCCTTCCAACATCACACATCAGACCCAGGTATACTATAAACTGGCAACAAGATCCCGGCATTCCAGCTAACCACAGCAAATGCTTCTTAGGAAGCAGACATTATAAACTCAAGAGAGTCTGAGCCAACCAGTAGCACTGTGAAACACAGCAGGTTGGCCAAACAGGCCTCAACGGGAGCATCATAGCAGACCGGGGCTCATCTCCATGTGGGGGACGCGCCTGTGCCACATGTCATCACTTCCAATTTTCAAACGGCTGGAAAAAAAATCTCAACACGTTTTTATAAACTTCCTAAATCTGTTATAAAATTACACAATTTAAAGAGTAGAAATCTGACTGAAAATAGCAGTGTGGGACAAAAGGAGACCACTATAAATATGTAAATTGAAGAGGATAATTCATGAACCTGAGACCCACAACTCACACCTGCAGCGCTCTTGAATGCATTAGGAGGAGCACATAGGCAAAGGTGCCCCACAGAGAGCTTTCCATGTTAAATGCGTTATTTAACCAGTGGGACCGGTGTTAACTGGTTAACTGGGAAACAAACAGAACCCCACCCATGTCAAAATTAATTCCAGATGGGCTGAGTCACAAGTAAAAAATGAAGCCGTAACACAGAGATTGTCATCAGACCTCAGAATAAAACAAGGACTATCTAAGCAAAACAAACAGTAGAAGCTCTAAGATCTACTAGATTTCAAAAAAACGCACAACATCCAGAGAATGGGGTAAACAAGAAATGAAGAAACAGCAATCCATGACAAAAAGAATCCAACACTTTCAGTTCACAGGCATTTTGTAATTTTTACTAAAACCTTTACTTGTCCATGAAAACAAAAAAAAAAAAAATCATAAAAATATGAACACATCTACTATATACCACAATTTTGTTTTGGAAAAGGGAAGTTTTAAATTAAGTTTGCTTTAACATGACTATCTACAGTTAACTACATTTTACAACTTTCCTTGAGAAACAAAAAAAGTTTCCCTTTTCAGATATAAACATTAAACAACACTTGATGTTTGAGTTTAGAGAATATAAACACTTTCTTGGGTGATTCCAATTCTTCCCTTTTCATTTGAGTGAAACACCACTCCACACAAGGAGCAAGGCCCAAAAGGCACGAGGCAGTCACCAAGGTCACTCTTCCAGTCCCCTGTGCCTCCCTTCACATCCTAGGTCAGCAGAGTCCTGCCCCCTCTGTTCCCACCCTCCATGCTCCACCAAAACCCTGCTGCCAGGTGAGACCCACTCCGGGAAGCACGCTCCTCCGCACCCCACAGGGTAAGTGTGCCTCCCCTTCACTCCTGCCCTCTGTCCACACTTGGCATCCCAATGTGCCATCGGGCCCCACCTACAATCCCTCTTTACCTGCCCGCAGCCTCTCTACACAAGTGAGCGTGCCCACACAGCACCCCAGGGCACACACTGACCAGAGGCACTGTCACCAGAGTTTGGCAATCGCAGCCTGTCCAGAATGAAGAGTGGACCAAAAACCTGAGCAATTCTGTTTTGGCAAACTACAGGGAGCAAGCCACGAGTAGGGTGATAAAATAACCACAGCCATACACATCAGGCCCAAAACCTGACAGGTGGTGGGTATTTCAAGATCCCTTTAGCTCTTACAATCACCCTCCGAGGCAGACTGAGGCCTGAGGTAGCTGGCCCCAAAGCACAGCTCCCCCTGGACACTGATGGGGATGAACAGGGTTGAGCGTGTTCCGAAGCTGGATGGGGAACAGCCTAGACCTCTGCTCAGCTTACCACACCACCTTCTACAGCATCCTTACTGCTTTCCCATCTCCTCCTCTCCCGCAGACCTGCTGAAGGCTAGCCAGTGCTTTAACTCACTGTGTGCCCCAGGGCCACTCACACTGAGCCACCTGCTAGGCACAAAGATGTGCTATAGAACTAAAATGAAAGCAACAGCATCAAATTAAACCAACTCCCCTGCTTTACCAAACCTCCTGGTAAGATAAACTACCCACATAAGTTTGGTTTACCTGTGTTCTGCAGCTACTTATAGAATCCTGGCAAGCCAGTTTTTATTAAGTCTGTTAAGACATATTCTTGGAAAGAAATGTTTTGAAAATATCACTGGTACATTGGTCCTCCTTGACTGAAGTGAGGAGTCATAATGTACGAAGGGGACATTCATTTCAAGTCTTGTGTTTAAACGTTCGTCTACTGTGTAACATCAGACTCTGTTCTCTCCGAGATCGCTGAAGGGTCCGTCCGCACAGTCTCAGTGTCTACTTGATACTTAGACACTGCTGCTGCTAATCTAGATCCATGTCTGCCCTACTACCCGACTGCTCAGGTGTCTGGGAAAGCAGACTTACTCATGTGCTTGCCCTGCATGAGCAATGGCTTTAAGGGTGCAGAGTACAGTGCGAAACACAGGCCAGCATTGTCCAGAAAAAGGAGAGTGTGAAAATGTGTTAAGAAATGAAGCAGGCCTTGAAGTAAACTCCCAACAGGACCACTACACAGCCAGAATCAGCCAGTGTGTTGCCAAGGCCAATGGGTTTTCAAACAAGGTATGACCCCAGCAGGCACACAAGAAAACACAGAAGAACCTTCAAAACAAGCCCAAACTCAACAGGCATGACTCAAGGCAGGTACATCAAAACAGAAAAAGTCTTCAAGAGCACCTTAGAGGTTTCTTAAAATCCAATTTACAAAAACCAGCTCGCAGCTTAGATCACAGCTAAACATGCAATTAGGCTCTAGAAACTAGAGAATGCAGGCACAGATGGATCCAAAAGAAAAGCAAAGTGGAGTCACCACGTGGGAAAAGGAGAAGAGGGGAGGAAATAAAATGCTGACACCCACATCTGAAAACTCTGATGTGGTCAGCTTTTAAATATGCTGTTTTTATCTCATGAAAACTGTTTCGTGCTGGTTTTCAAAAAGCTCTTCACACTAAAAAACTAAAGTCTTCTGAAAGCGTCCCACGTGAGTACATTAACCAAAGGGTATAGCATGTGCCAGTCAAAACAGGACCAAGTGTCTAGGAAGCAGGCAGTGACACACTCACGCATTCACATAAACACTTCACACACACACTCAGACACACAGATACACACTCACATACACACACACACACACACACACACACACACACACACACACACCTAAACTGCAGGCTCCTTTCTAGACATCCATGCTACGGAAGGTGGAGGCTTCTGGAAGGCAGGGAAAGGAAGCATGGTCTTTTAAAGATCTAACAATATAACATACGGGACGGCTGCTTACGTGTCACCTAGTAAAGGGGACCACTTCTATTTTCTGTGTTTAAAGTGGGGCAGTTCTCCCAGGATCCCACCTAGTTTCTCTGAAGATGTCAACAGACAAGACAGCAACTCCCCATATGGTACTGACCAAGAATGTAGCTAAAACCTTCATAAACCCACTGCCAGAAACAGAATGAAACTGCAAAGAAATGGGACTTCGGGCTAATATTTAGTCACTGCACAGTATGAGTCACACAGAAATCACTGCTGTAATTTCTCCCTTTCATGGGCCATTTAACTTTTGCAGGTTGCTTTGCTGAACAAAGCATCAAATACAAAGGAAGCCTGGGGCAGGTGAGGGAAGGCACAAGAGTAGATTCTACTGATGGTCAACAGAAGAAAGAAATATACAAAGCCTAATGAGGTATAGGGCCAATAAAAAAAAAAAAAAAAAAAAAAGACACGATCAGAGAGAAAGAGAAGGGGACAACTGTACGACAGTCAGAACCAAATCTGACAGGTAAGGCAATGGCTGGCCTGAGAGCAGAAAGTGCATCCGATCTCCTGCTGCAAGGTCAGGGAGCTGCCAAAGCTGCTTCAGCTCATCTACTGCTGGGGGAAGGAGCAGGGTTACCAACACCCATTATCTGTATGGTTTGGGCCTCAAATTATCAGACCAAACAAACACCAGCAAGAGGGAAGGATTCCATAAATTAAATAGTGAGTGAGTGAGTGAGTGAGTGAGCGAGCGAGCGAGCGAGCGGTGTGTTGGGCTGACCAGTGTGGAGTGTGGCACAATACTTATTTGTACCAAAGTATTTTGAGGGTTTTTTTTTTCCTATGTATGAATATAAAGAATGAAAAAAAAAAATCCCACATCCCTAGCCCTGTATGAGGGGAGAGGGAGGAAGGAAGAGAAAGTGAGGAAGAAGGGAGGAGAAAAAAATACTGAAAATTATATCTCTAGGTTAACTTTAAGGCTGAGATCATAAATCTTAGAAGTTGCTAAACGTATTCAGGTTCTCTGTAGCATAGCTGCTTGCTCTGTTATTCCCAGAAATCCTGGCTATATCCCCAAAGTGTGGGGGTTATGGGTCACTCTTACAATAAACACCTGCACTTAATAAAAGCTCAATAAATGTTTACAAGAGTCAAGGAAACTATCTCCCAACAGCAATAACCTCTTCCTAGTTTCCATGGCATTGCGTGGGGGCAGCGTCCCTAATCGTGAGTGTAGCATAGTGTCCCAGCTCTCCCTATAGTAGAGACACACGCACACACATCTGAGTCTCTACAGCGGAGAAAGCCTTCCATCTGCAGAGGGGTAAAAGGTTAAGTTCCAGAGAAAGGTTTAGCCAAAGAAGATTACCAGATGTTTGACTACCCATCCAGGTGTCTTTGTTATGTTTTCAATTTCACCTTCCCGAAGGGGAAAAAGTGCATTTAAAACATCAGACAGCAGATGGCTGCCCAACATCCCCTCCACCCTGCCAAACGTGAATAAAGTGCACAGCAACGGCAAAGGGACCAGCTTGTTCTGTTTACAAGCATGCTCAAATTAGACACAAACCTTTACAGCTCCGAGTTGTTCTTTTCTGAATTTTTCCAAGGGTTTAATCAGGGTTTCAGTTACACTTAGCGCCTGGAGAACAAGAGTAATAACAAAAGAACACAGCATTAGGAAAAAAATAGTATTTCATTTTCCTCCTGCACTCCACCCAGAAGTAAAATAAGCAACATACTTGGCTGTTTTGCCTCATTCTGCCAACATAGCAACTAAGACGCTATGTCACGTAGCAAGGAGCAACACATCTGTAAACGTTTTCAGGAAAGAGAGCTGGAGCAGCTGGCAGGAACAGGGACTCAGCCCCAGCTCACACCAACCAGCTCTCTGCAAACAACAAGGGCTCCATCACACCCACGAACCCACTTCTGTGTGAGATGCTTTTCACCTCCTCCTCGGAAATTTCAAATTCAGTTACATTCCTTCACTGGTCATCAGACTATACTAAGGGAGGGACTGAGAACTGTGGATATCCTTCCAACGTCGCAATCCCTTGCCCTCGTGAGGACAGAAGGTGTATTAGCAACTCGGAAAGTCAGGGCAAGTCAGGTGCTGGGCCTGCTGGCAAGTGCCTCATCAGGGAGGGTCCAGATGATGGCCACACGCACACTCTGACTACAATCTCATTCATGTCTCACACTGACTTGGTTGGGGCTTTTCATTCAAAGCCACAAAATGCTGAAAATGCAAATAAAAGGATTATTTGCCTAAGGATACCAAGCATACTTGATAACAGTATGCTACTGAACAGTGGCTTTCTCAGCCTCCAACTCCAAGACTCAGAAATATCCAGAACGGGGGAAGTACATCAAAACACTAGTCAAGAGTATTTCATCCACCTTTTACAAAGCTCCCTTCTAAAAACATAAACTCAAGCTTAAAACAAGGGGGAAATGGTAAATGATTAAAAGATAAATATCAGAAATCAAATCTAGTTCCCTCCCTCCCCTTTGCCTGCTAGGCAAGTGCTGGACTTAAGCAAAGGCTCCTCTGCACTCACTTCTTACATAAACACATCATCTAAGGTGAATATTCACAGTACAGTAAAAATACAAAATACGTAAAATACGTAACAAGTCCACAAACACAAGGACTTGGGAATGCTACTCACCCACTTGGAAACTTTGCTACTTAGTTGCAAAAGAGCGGTGGTAACACAGACTCCAAGAACCACCCACACAAGGGAATGGGCTCATCTTCCCAGCGCGTGTTAAATATTTACATGTAAGTGTTCTACATTTAACACTCTATGACCTGCAACAGTGACGGAGCAGAGAACACACACATTGAAGAGAGCAGAGACAAAGTGGCTTGGAGCAGGGATGCTGGCCATCCAAGATCTGGGATGGCCCATGTCGGGTCTCAGAAAAGACACCAGGGGAGCTCCCAACGTTTTTCAAGTGTTCGGACTCACAGCCAGTCTCCATAAGCGGATGTCCCTGGACCTGCAAAGGCGCCTGCGACCAAGTCTGACAACCAAGACGTACATGGCAGGAGAGAACTGACTCCCCAAGTTGTTCTCTGACCTCTACACGCACACAGTGGCATGTGTACACAAATGTATACAAACTGAACAAATAATTTTTAAAGGAATATATGACCTGTGTCAATTTCAAAGCTTTTACGTTTAGATCTAGCCTACTGTTGTTGCAGAATAAACCCACATATAGTAAATACATCCTCTGCAGAGGCAGCATGCTCAAGGAAGAAGCAGCCTGGCAAAGCATGCCAGAAACAACAGAGGCTGACAAATGTTTATGGTCACAAAAGTGCAGGGAAGTGCAAACCCCAGAGAACACCGCAGTACCAAGTGGGCACTTACCCATCCAACACAGCCGTCCAGCCAAACCTGCAGCCCAGTAAAATATTAAGTGAGCACCTGGGCCGAGTAATATGGTCATTAGCATGAACAGCCTCCTGGCCCTCGTGAAATTTGCTAATTAGTAAGGGAGGCACAAGTGTAAATTCTAATGATTCCTTCAATCGGAGAAAAGTAGGGCCAAGTGTAGCGAGGACCTCACCAAAGAAGAAAAGGCAGAATGTGCTCCGTCCCTATGCTAAGTGCTGAAGGACGAGAAGCAATCGGGAGCATGAGGATCAGGAGGAGCTGTGTACAGCCTGGAGCCAGCAGAGGCACAGGATGAAAGGAAAAGAAACACTGCCTCTGACAGCAATGTCAGACGGGAACACTGACCGGACAGAAAGAGCCGAGTGACAGCAGAGGCCCAGAGCACGCTGCAGTCAGGACATCTCTGGCTGATGGAGAAGCCACCACAGGGTGTGAAGCAGAGAACAGATAGAATAATAATTACAGCTTTTAAAAGAGCCACTGCTGTTAGCAAAGGCCTTGGAGGTGGTCCCTGGGGTCTCCCCAGGAACAAGGCTTGACGGCAGCTCATACAAAAGCAGACACAAAAAGAAGCGGGCAGAGTTGAGTCACATCTGCAAGCTAAGTAAACTGAGTACGGGAAAACATGAAATATGGACAACTGCTCCTGGAGTTTGCAAGGGCAAACAACCACCTAAGAGCACTCTTATAGTCTGGGTCCTTGATGGCCTCCAAAGCTCCATGTGCTGCAGGGCCCCTCAGCAGCCCACAGTACCAGCAGAGCCTTTACAAAACTAGGTGGAGATGGAGGAAGACAGGCCAGTGTGCAGGGATACTGGAATTCCAGCCCTTCTCTGTGGCTTCCTGCTCCATCTGACCATGCTGCCTTGATGTGCTGCTCACCATCAGTTCAAACGCCAACCACAAACACCTCTGACAATGTGAGCCAGGAGAAGCCGCTAAAATGTGGTGTTGGATGAATGGAGACGTATGTGTGGCTGTGTGACCGTGCATGTCCGTTAGCCTGCCTTCAGATGCCTCTGAATCCTCTCTTACCTTCTGTGACCCTGAATAGCTGTCAGCCCATTATATACCAGCATGCAATGCTTATCTGACTTCTTTCCTGAGGGCAGCCTCTGCAAAAATATGTCATTAATAGGGCCATTCAGACATGGCAACAGGACCAATCCAGACAGAGGAGCTGTGGAAATGGAGCTGGTGTCATGTGTGTCTTAATTTATAGGACACTATGTGTAAACTCAATGACCTCGGCAATAGCCACAGAAAAGACCAGATGGTAGGTGATTCATAACTGAAAGGCTTGAGTATCTTGGGAACAGCCATTCTCCAGAAGGATAGCCATGAAGAATAGTACAGGAGATGACCGGTGAGAACACAGGAATAGGGAAGGACTTTTCCTTTGTGTGTGTGTGTGTTTTTTTTAAAGACATAAATCAGTACATAAGAGGTAAGAGCATGTACAAAAGTCCTCATGACGAGCCTACAAAAGAGGCTGAAAGGCTACCTAGAACATGGAAAGACATGGGATGCTGGCACTGCACGGGAAATGCCCTGGCCAGAGGAGCAGCCATCTTTCCTTCCCTTCTAACAAGAGCCAGCATCAACAAGCTCATAGACACCCTGAAGAAAGCTGGGGGAACGAGTACTAGACAGTTTATTTCTCTGTGCGATATAAGGGAAAGCCATTTAACAAGAGTTCAGGCCTGAGAAGAAGAGAGGTAGAGGAAGAGAAGGAGGTAGGGAAGGGAGGAAGAAAACTTCAAATGAGGGTCACTGCCTACAGGAAGAGATCATCCCTGGGCAGGATTCAAGCCGGGCTGGAGAAGTGAGCATGACCTCCCCATCGACCTCACTGCAGGGTTCTTCTCTCACAATGAAGAGAGAGAGATAAGGTTCATCCTGGATAGAAGCATTTCCTGGAGACATGAATACACCAGCATCCCAAGCTGTGGTGTCTAAAATGCTGCTGAGCTGCAAGGATCTCACAAAGGAAGAAACCCTTCCTTGAGAGCCAATGCCCTGAGGAAAATGGCACAGCCCCGAGCCAAGAGCAGACAACAAGTGCTTCCCAGGCAAATGTGCAAATGTAAGAGTCAGAAAGGCCCTCCGTGCAGAAAGAGAAAACAGCAATTCGAGGCATGGAGCTCCTAGTAGTTCAGTGTCGATGGACGAAATGTAGGCAAGAGGATCACAAGAGGCTAACAGCAGGAGATGTCATTTATTACCATCAAAAATGGCCCCTAGGAAACACTCAAAAATGGCAGACACCTGGACACAGGAAACAGGACAGCCTTCTATGATCCTTCACTCCGCAGCAAACACCCTCACAAAAAGGAGACCGCAGCGCTCACACAAGAGTAATTTTAGGTCATGGAATTGTCCCTCATCTAGAGAACTGACGTGATTCACAGCCATCTGCCTGGCCACCAGAGGCTGAAACAGCAGGCTGGAAAGAGCACAGGGGCCTCTGCTTGCTCCGAGTCAATAAGCAAACACTCCAAACAGAGGGAGCAGCGCCGATTACATACATGTCTTAGGGCTTTTTGCTTTCACTAAAAATGCTCTGCAACCTTAAAATCCATCGTTGTCTTAGGCCACAGAGGAGGACTTTGCAGCCAGCCCTGAAGATACCTGATAAAACAGGGTCAAATGAAAGGGGAGGAGGTCCTGCCCTATCAGTGGATGTGGAAAGGGGCAAGGAAAGAGACCAGGGAGGGAATGTGGGGTTGGGGAGGGAATGAGGGAGCGGGATACAGCTGGGACACAGAGTTAACAAAATGTAACTAAAAAGAAAAATAAAATTAAAAAAAAAATCCATCGTTGTCATCTCCTGGAAAGTCTGGTCTATAAACTCTAGAACAGAGCCTAAAATACTCCTTAAGAACAGAGTAGGGACCGGCCACTCATCGTTTTTTTGTAAGGTACTGTTGGTCTTAGAACAAGGGCTATTTTCTTCTCTCTAAAGAGACTGGCGGCTCCGTGGAATCTCCCGTTCCTTTTATAATTTCACAGAAATGCAATGCTGTTACTAATATTCCTACTGTCAAAACTATTCCTCCTCCCCAGAGACAAGTGAGCACTGACTCTCCAACCGACCCTGTGGCTTCCCAGGCCCTGAGGATGACACCGTCAGCATTTCAGAGACAACTGGAAGTAGTGACAATGAAAAAGACTCTCACGTGCCAATGTGTTAAAAACGAGATGAACAAGAGCAGATACAGATTGTGAA